GAGACTGGCCGGTAATTCTTGGGATCCGAGCGGGGGCTCTTCTTGAAGACTGGAACCACATGGGCCAGCTTCCATTTGGTAGGTTGAACACCGTGGCGAAAGCAGAGTGAGAACAGTTTGGTGACTGGTTCTGCAAGCTCACTGGAGCACTGAGCTAGGACTCTTGCTGGAATATTGTCAGGTCCTACATACAAGAGCAAGCCCGTCAGTGATCTTCTGAAGCAACATGAGCGCCGCAAGAAGAGTGAGTATGCCGAGCGTATCAACAATGTCGACCGTGGTTCATTTACCCCTCTAGTCTTTACCACAGCGGGTTGTTGTGCTCCGGAGTGTACTGCATTCATTAAGCGGTTGTGTGCATTGCTGGCAACTGCCGATCGACCGTATGCCCAGTTAATGGCCTATGTGCGGTGTCGCTTGTCCTTCGCTTTGCTCAGGGCAGCCATAATGTGCATTCGCGGTGCACGTTCGGCCTACCATCGTCCAGTTAATGCGATGAGGGAGTTGGCCATTGTGGAGAGCGGCTTATAAGCATGTGATTGAGTGGTCTCTGCATGTTGATCGGGTAGCGGAGTTCCATCACTGACGCAGTGTGCGGGTATTGCATTATGAATTGGTTGAGTAGATAGTTCCGGAATAGATGACTTGCACAAAGATTGTCTGGGTTCGAGACGGGGCAAGTGGACCTTCTGACTCTGACTTCCCCACCTTTTGAGTTCGTGACTTTCGAAGTTTCGCTTTTTGCCTGAAGAACACTGAGCTAGTTTTTTTGGCTAGAGAGTAGAGTTGTTTTGATTCGGCTTGTATCGTCATTCCGAAGCGCTGCTACTCTCCTGAATGCACTAGCAGACGAGAGATGGAACTGACGCTCCCATTCCATACGTTCCTTTCCGAGCCGGCCGGCCGGGAGGCAGAAAAATGAGGGAATATTTTTAGTATCATTGGTGTAGGCTGCAACAAGCACGTCGTGGTCCTGAAGTGTGACTACTTTCCCGCAGTGGAAGCGAAGTCAAGCACAACGAAAGTTTGTGGACGTCTGAGAAAGAACTCGATTCCCTTCGATTCGGCTGCACTAGATCCAGAGCGACTCTCTCCTAAGGACAGACTGCGGAGAGGCCAGGAACCTGCCGAGTCACGAGTGGTAGCCCAAACCACGAAAATGAGGGGTGGAAGGACTGAGTGTGAGAGCCAGATGGCCTTTAGTAGTACTTCAAGTAGTATCTGAGTTGAAGGAGAGAACAAGTGTGCTGGAGAAACGCTGCGAAGTCCTCAGGCCTAATGTGTACTAGCTACTGTTGAAGTCTCACTTGTTCCGATATGAACACTTCATCAGCCCTGACTCTCATCAAACAGTGCATTCGCCTTCATCATACACTGGCTCCGTTGCCTACAGTAATTCACATTTTGACGGGGCGCGCTGGGACGATACGGAAGGAGCGGCGGGAACCATTGGAGTGCTCATGATGCTGGTTTAGTGGAGACGGATGTGAGTGTCAGGAACGGGAACGCAACCGCACTACTGTACAGATCAGGAAGCGATGGAAGAGTTGAATCTGTTCAGCCTTCCATGCCGTGTACAGGGACACAAGCGTAAAAATGGCTACATTTCGAATGTGAACTGGCGATGGCATTGTGTGGCGACGAACACAACTGCAACTGTTCAAATTTCAGCATTTCGAACATTATGCTTCTCATAATAACTCACCGAATGGCTCACATGACGGAGTTGGACATTACCAGGCTAGGATTATCATTTGCTGTATTTATGGATATTCCTTGAGTTTTCAGATGAAGTGCTTTATCTTTTCCTGTCGTTCCTTTAGTATGGCACAATGTCCATGGCTGCTTCCTTGTCTTCATAACAGATTGGTATAATTAGCATGATTCTGCTTTTTTGAGAAGAAATAAAACTTTCCTTTCGGAAAGGAAGCCCAGAAACGTCAACCCCCATGGACTTTATGACTCTCGTCCATCGACGTTAACCGTCGCAATAACTGCTGCATGTATGTTGTGCTGTGCGAACCGTACAAGATTTTACAGCTCACCCACGCCTTCCCAACAGGCTCCTATATCCCGTACCGTTAGCGTTACATTGAATATGAACTAGGCTAGCACAGTTATCCTTCGTTCTTTTGATGGCGGCGGGTAGCATGGAACTTGACGTGTTCTTGGGATCCTCGTGCCACACTTACTGTTCCCGGATGCCATATTATTGGGTGCATCGAGGTTGCTTCTATGCTCACTGTTGTTTAGTAAGACAATTTTTTTATCTATTTCACCGAAGAATAAGGCTGTGTTTACATGAGAAATTTCAACCCGGGTCGAGTTCAGCCCGGGTTGAAAGTCTGTACGATAGACAAAAGAGGTGAGCGTTTACATGAAGACAGTTGACCCGGGTCAAATACTGATATGCCGCCAAAAGTCCACTTCTACAGTCCTGTATGGTCACGTGAATCCGTTCGCGCGAAATTTGCATCTGCAGTGCTGTTCAAACCTGGCGCGAGATACGCACAGAAGTACGTTTGTACGATTTTCTTGACCCGGGTTGATTTCAACCCTCCCCTTGGGGGGAGGGTTGAAATCAACCCGGGGCGAAATTTCAACCCGGGTCAAGCGCAATGCGTCATGTAAACGCGCCATTCACTTTGTGCACATGGCGGGTTGAAATCTGACCCGGGTCGAACTCAACCCGGGTTGAAACGCTTCATGTAAACACAGCCTTAGGCAAGAGTATTTTGGGTTGATTTGGACGCCTGGCTTCTCTTCACATAATAATACAGTCATGTACTTCCACTCAGGGAGTAGTACAATACCTGCTTCCACTAACCCTACAAGTGCACATGCATGACTCATGAGCTACTGAAGACAGTGACGGTACTGATCATGTACATGTACATGTGCATGCCGTGCACCGTTCATTCATGCTGACAAAAAAAGTGCAATATTACTAGTCTACAGACGGTGTACACTGGTGTAGGGTGCCCGCAGTGTAGCCTGGGTGCACAGGGTGCACTTGCCCCGTCTCACTCGCGGCTCGGATCTTTAGCTTTGTGCAAGTCATCTATTAATTCCGTGTTCGATATTGTTTATTTTTTACATATTTTTATTTTATTTTATTCGTGTTCGGTATTGAATTTAAAGGGGAAGTATACCCTAAAATCAAATTTTCACCAGTTGTAGTCTTCGGGGTGCTGAGTCGAATGGTCTTGGTCCGAGGAAGCTGCGACGCTCCCTTCCTACTTGAATCCCAATCGAACTCGCGCACTTCCACCGAAACTGGGTGACTGCGCCCTACTAGATGGGGATTTGTATGCAAAATGTCACTAAAAGTGCCATTTCGTTCTTATAAAAGCACGGATGACCGCGATTGGCCCATATGTTGTAGTCTTTTGGACGCTGAGTCGACTGGTTTTGGTCCGAAAAGGCTGCGATGCAGCGTTCCTCCTTTATTCCCAATCGAACATGGTTGAACAAGCGGTCACGTGCTCCTGGGTGCCCAAATCACCTGGTCACCGCGCCAGCAGGCGACAACTTTCACACCAAGGTTCAACTCGAGTTCAACTCGAGTGACAGGACTGCACCCAAAAAAGGTCAAACAGGCTTGTAAGTTGTACCCTGCAGGCACGGTGACCAGGTGACTGGTGTACGCAGGAGCACGTGACCGCTTCTTCAACCATGTTCGATTGGGAATAAAGGTGGAACGCTGCATCGCAGCCTTTTCGGACCAAAACCAGTCGACTCAGCGTCCAAAAGACTACAACATATGGGCCAATCGCGGTCATCCGTGCTTTTATAAGAACGAAATGGCGCTTTTAGTGACATTTTGCATACAAATCCCCATCTAGTAGGGCGCAGTCACCCAGTTTCGGTGGAAGTGCGCGAGTTCGATTGGGATTCAAGTAGGAAGGGAGCGTCGCAGCTTCCTCGGACCAAGACCATTCGACTCAGCACCCAGAAGACTACAACTGGTGAAAATTTGATTTTAGGGTATACTTCCCCTTTAAATTTAAATTTATTTATTTTTTACAAATATTGTTTTTATTCCATTTCACATTTTTCATTCGTGTTGGGTTTAACTAGACTACTCACTGTACTGATACATGGTGATGATTGTGCTTTGCTTTGCCCGTAAAAGAGGCCTTCCCGATTTGTATGGTTCTGCCAATTTCACTGCTTTTCGAGCAGAATCTGCCACCTTTTCGAGCATTATCCATTATCCGCCAATGCCTACCAAGGACCAGGCACATCTCGATATCAGTGGCAGTGGATTGTGGGGCAGTCGTTTCGAGCACACATATCACCGACATGAACAGGAAAAACGAAGAAAGTACGAAGAGCGGGTCCGGAATGTCGAACATGCGTCGTTTGCCCCGTGGTCATGAAGGCGTCAGCCTCAGGTGCCGCATTTCCTTTGCTCTCCAAAGGTCCTGTACAGTGTCAGTGTGCCTTAGACTTAGAGGGTCTAGAACATTATTTGGAAAATATCAACAAAGAATTGATCAACAAGAGCTTCCACCACACTGGCGGTTTCTGAGCCTGAGGCAGGGTTCTCAAACTTCTCATACCCTTGTTTTGTGCACGGTTTGTTGTTCATGTGCCATGTCACTCAGATCATGTGCAGGCTTTGTGGCCAGATTCCTCGCTGTAATTATCATGACATAGCTATATAGCGGCATTGCTCCGTGCTGCCAGTGCCACATTAAAAAAAGACCTGCCAAAAGCTGCCATGCGGTCTTTGACTTTGCGGTTGAAAGGTCATGGACTCTCCGCTCTGTACCTGCGTGGCAACTAATGTGTTACTTGCAGCTATAGCTAGCTAGCTATATTTTGTAGTCGGTCTTTGACTTTGAGGTCCAAAGTTCATGCATAGACTCTCCGATCCGACCTGTGGTTTCCGATTTTCGCTTTCGTGTCATGTCCATGAGCTCTAGCGCTATAGCTGGGTAGGTCAAAGGCGAAATATTTCTTTTTTAATTAATCTGCATACTGCAGCAAACTCCGTTCCTTGGTTTCGCGACTTTTTCATTGGTGTGCCCACTTCCGTGCCATTATGGACTCCAGCACACGTATGTCCACTATTGCTGGGCTGAAGAAGATCAAGCATCTCGGAAAGGGGAGCTTCGGTTCCGTATCGCTGGTGCACGTTGTGAGCCCAGAAAACTTTGATCTGAATTTTGAATGCCGCGCTGCACTCAAAGTTCCCACCTCGTGCAATCCAGATGATCACGAGGACTTCTGCAAGGAGGCAACTATCATGCGCGGATTGAACCATCCGAACGTTGTGAAGGTCTACCATGCCTCGCGTGATCTTCGCAATACCCCATACATACTCATGGAATACGCTGAGAATGGAAGTCTGCTAGACTACTGCAAAAGCACTGGAGTCTTGACTCGCTTGCATGGCTACTTTGGAAACCCTTTCGGCGGGAAGTCTGAGCTACAGATGTGCGTGGATATTGTACGCGGTATGGAGTATCTGGAAAGTAAGAGACTGGTGCATCGTGACCTTGCCGCAAGGAATGTTCTCGTCACAAACGACGGTCTTTGCAAGATTGCAGATTTCGGCCTGACGCGACGCATGATTAAACCAGCTGGATATGCTTGTCCTGCAGGTAACGAGTTCGTGTTTTCCACGATGACATATGCGTATGTCGTGGGAAATCCAGACGGTGCTATTCCAGTACTGTGGAGTGCACCCGAGGTGCTGTCAGGAAGCCCCTCAACGACGAAGTCGGACGTCTGGAGCTTTGGTGTAGTGCTTTGGGAGGTATTGTCATTAGGTGCTGTCCCATATGATACGGAATTGGACGTGATATGCCGACCAATATGCGGTCTCCCGACCCAACAATCCGTGGTGCATGCCATGAATCAATACCTACGTGGTGGCAGTAGGCTTCCCCAACCGGAATGGTGCGAGGCTGATCTCTATGCTCTGATGCAGGAGACTTGGGATCTGGACCCTGATGCTCGTCCGACATTTGCTGATTTGCAAGTAAAGATGGAAGGTCTTCAAAGCATCAGAACGCAGAAAGCTGTTACTGGATTCGCTGTTTTGGCCGCCGGAGCGCTACGTCTTCTGAAATAACGTTAGTGCTCATCATTCTCACAACCCATGGTCACAGGCTGGTATCCATGGTCACAGGCTGGTATCCAAGGTAATAGGAGGGTATTCATTTCCTGTACTGTATATACAGGAGACAAGCCCTGGCCTTTCAGTGTATACGTGTGTATTATCATGGTTTGGCCACGGCTGCAGTGTCCTACATGCAGTTACATGTATGTGCTAACACCACAACGTGTGTATCCGTTATCACTGCCTTGCCTGATCTGTAAGCTTGGCTGGCACAGCTAGTCCATCTAATCCTATTTGTAGCCAGCATGCAGCATTGCGATGAATGCTCTCATCCTCACCTTCACTGAAGGCCTGTTGCTGAACCATTGTTGTGTTTTACTCAGACTCAGAGCTAGCTGTGATGGTTATCTCCACCGCTACCTAGCTTTGACGCTCAATGAATTATTTCACACACATCGTGTCATGTTCTTTTGTTCTCTGTCAGTTTATCATTTCATCTGGGGGCGTTTTGGTGAGCTGCGAGCGTGATGTTCAAGTAAACATTCCTCTCTGTTTGTTGCGTGAGAAAGCTTCTCCCAGCTGCTTTCCCCACTCCACACTTTGTTGGGTTCTCGTTTGTGTGCCTTGGCTTTTGTATTGTGTGGACGATGAGCTACATGTAGCTTCCTCAGCCTGGCTCACTCATTCAAATTGTATTTCACACCGTCTACATGCATGTGTTTATATTTGACGTGCTCACCAACTCTCTAGCTATCTTCAATACTTCCATTGTCCTTTTTCGCCACATTCTCTTTCACCTTTTCAATGATGCATATTGTTTCTATCGCTTGGCACAACATGATAAACTTCAGATAAAGTAACCTTGCAGCGATTCAACTCGTCTTCCTAATCGCCGTACCTTTGAAAATACGAAATCCGAGTGGACACACATATTCCCATAGCGCTGCACATCCGAATTCCAGTTCCAGTTCAGTTCTATCACAACGTTTCGGCACTTGGCCATCATCAGGTAATCAGTGAACGTCAATGAATACAGTGGAAGGCACACAAGAACAGTGCACAGTCAACTAACTTCGCTAATAACGACTGCGGATATAACGACAATTCGCGAATAATGACAGAATTTCCATGCCCAGAGCAAAGCCCCATCTACAGTACTAACTGAAAATGAGACTTTGGGTATAAGGACACTTCGCGAATAAGGACACTTTTCTGATGCCCTGCCGAGTGTGGTTATACGCAAAGTTGACTTTACACGTACAACAGAGGCGACATGTCGACAGGCTGTGTGGCTGAAACTGCAAGTTACACGCATTTCAGCGATCATCAGACAGCGGCATTAATTTGTCATTCACAGGAGTGTGATCGTCACAATACCCCAGTACACACAACTCGTGGCGTAGACGCCTAGCATGGATGTCTGAGAAACTGCATGACTATTATGGCAGCAATAATAGTCTTGAGACTGGTTCTTAGTGACCTTGCAGCAAGGAATGTTTTCGTCACAACCGATGGTCTTTGCAAGATTGCCGATTTCTGCATGACTCGACGCATGATTAAAAACAAGCTTAGTATTCTACAGGTAGCGGTGGGTTCAGGTTGTCCGAGTTGAAATATGCCATGTGTGGCGGGTGCTGCACCATTACTGTGAAGTGCACCAGAGCTGCTGTCAGGAAGACTCTACAAGTCAACGCCAAAGTTGGACGTCTGGAGCTTTGGTGTAGTTCTTTGGGAGGTGTTGTCATCAGGTGCTCCTCCATACAGTGCGGAATGGGATGATATTATGTACAATAATACATTCCAACAGTACGCTTGTACTTGATATATAAACCGATATACAAGCGGAGGCACAGCCGAAGTTTGTATGATTGTTTCCACTGGGTGAGCCCCCTACCCCCGAACCAAAAGAGGCCACATTTACACCAGGCCTTGCCAGAGTGCTCAAACCGACAAATCAGTGAGCTCTGCATAACGCGAACAGCAAAGACACTATCCCACATGAGAGTGCTCAACTGCTACAAGAGCAGGAATTCATTGTATATTATATTTTTTACTGAAAAGCACTTTCATAAGCACCAGGCGCAGATCAAACACACACACACACACACACACACACACACACACACACACCTGGTCCTGGCCCTGGTAATCACTGCCATTACGGTCACGTGTCCCCTTGCGGGGCCGACAATATGGAACGAGCGACACACACACACACACACACACACACACACACACACACACACACACACACACACACACACACACACACACACACACACACACAGGGCATACATGGTGGGACAGCAGTATTTGCGCACAATCATAGCCCTGTCACAAGTCTACTACTTCAACATACAGATATACTCTACACAGTTACATGATTGTACACCCCAGGCTCACATCTACTGTCTATAGAAAATATAGTTGATAATTATAGAGATAACTGAGGAACGTTTTAAAAACACATGACATCTACAGGGAGTAGTACGAGTATGGTTGGCTGGCCACACAAAACACAGCAGTGACACTTCTGATTTCAATACAATAGCCCGCATACCAGTCAGCGGCGCGTTATTCTCGGCAGATTGCCATTTGACAGTCCCATTTCGCCAGCCATACCAGCTGTAACAATGTATCCTAACTTAGGAGAAAGATAGAAACAACGGCCGAAAACCAACGGAAATAAATCGAGATACTGAAGTATGTAGTATAATAATAGTATGCTCTAGCTGACGGTGTATGGGATAGACGACGTAGATCACTTGTTCACTAGAAGGGCACACGAATAACATCTCCTGTTCATTGGACATACTATGGTATCATGGAACACTTGCCTGCCTGATGAAGTGATGTCTGTCACAGAATGGACGTGTAGCACTCACCCGCAGGAAAAGAATAGATTTAATCACACTGATGATGTGAAATGCTCGCCGACAATAATCAAATCAACTCACTTAATACCACATGTGTATGCAGCCGCGAGATAATCACGCATACGCACACACATACATATAAAAACACTCACACACCGATGTACACACACACACAAACACACACGTGCGCGCGCGTGCGCACACACACACGCACACAGGGAAAGCCACTGTTGAGCACTGACAGCAATCTAGTATCTTGTGATTGGTACGGGCTCATCGACATTGACCGTATGTCTGCAATACGGGCAGCATTGCTTCTCCAGAACATTGACACAGTATTCATCCATGCTGAAGAACTGGATAGGACACAATGCACAAAGAAAGAAGTTGGATACCAGGAAACTTACATTCGACACACATACACACACACATACACACGCACGCACACATGCATGCACGCACACATGCATGCACGCACACACGCACGCACGCAAACATGCACACACACCACCTCCATCGCCACCACCATGGCAGCGGCTGCTCACCTCGTTACAATACTGGCAGAGGGTGACATTGTGTTCTTTGACGACATCCTTGTAGTACTGCCAAGACCTTGGTGCTTTCCACCGTCGGATTAAAACTTCGCGTGGGTCAAAGCTACGCAGCATCTCACGATCAGCCACAATGAACTGAAAGTCCATCCCATCGGCCTGCGCACATCACAGTAGCCACAACACGTGTTTTATGTTCAGCTATTTCAAGTTACTAAGATCTGAAATTATGTTACATGGAATGCACCAGCACTATAGACACATTTCACCATGCGAAGTCCATCCACCATCCGTAGAGGGCTCAATAATTTCTCATTTCTATTTCTTTCATGTTTGGCTGCTAGAGACACATACATACACCCCCTATCAGGGTTCTTGCCAAAGCGACATAGCGAGGCGCGGCACCCTCCTTCAATCTTTGACCGCCCTCTTTCAGACAGAATACGCCACCCTTCAGAGTGCAAGCGCCACCGCTTTACATGCATGATAAGTACGCATCGTGTGGTAGCACAGCATAAAATTGTGCTACGAAAATGGCAGTAATAATCACCAAACATGGCGGTAAAAATCACCAAACATGGCGGTAAAAATCACCAAAAATGGCGGTAAAAATCACTAAAAAATGGCGGTAAAAATCACCAAAAAATGGCGGTAAGAATCACAAAAAAGTTGGGTCCGATGATCCCCCCCCCCTCTTCACTTTTGTTCTGGCTCTAACCCTGACTATGCTGGCCAGAGCAGATTTACTTGGCAAGAGCAACCTTATTCGGTTGAACCAGCCACTGCAAATCAGGCAACGTTTGCGCCGGTTCTAGTGTGAGAGGCTACCGTTGCCAGAACAATCAGAAAACGTCAGCAGGACCAGCTTTAGTTAGATAATACTGCAGCTACACCTGACCCACCAACATAAACCTACCCAAACAATCTGCACCCCGTGCTACATAGAGTAGACGGCAATGAATGCACCAGCATAACAACAAGGATATAGAAATGGGAATGGCGTTACCTCGTATGCTGCCATGCGTGCGCTGAACTTGTCCTTGACAGTACCATGGTCCTCTGCGGGCATTATGGTTAAACGCTCAATGCCGTCTGTTCACAGGCAATGCACGCATGCATACACACACAGATACATGCACGTACACAAATACACACACACATACACAGTGACACTCACAAACACACACACACACACACACACACACACACTACCTGTACTGTACTTGCTTACTGCTATGACTTGTTACGCGAGTCTCCGCCGAAGAGGAGAGAGAGAACCAAAAGGAATCCTGGAAAGATGACTCAATGAACAATTGTATTTTGATATCACACTCCACAAACGGGTAACATCTGAAAACTCCTTAGTTGTATTCATGTTCGATGGCTAACATAGCAGTTGACTTGGCCTGCCAAACATGCCATGAAAACATTCATGCATGTGTTTCACACAACTCCGTACCAAAGTCACGTCCACCAACATCAGTAGCTTCTTTCTTCCTGGGTGGTTCCGTCTGGATAAGCCTGAGAGCTTCTTCGTCGCTGTACAGGCAACACAGAGCATGACTTGAGCACATAATTATCGTTATGACAGACCCTTAAAAGAATAGAGATTCAGGCAGCAGACGACTTTCCCAGGGTTTGTCGGCATCCCTGGCAAGACAGGGTCACTTGGACCAGAGAATTGTGATCATACAATAACTCCTGGACCTAGAGATGGCAACGCTATTAAGCAGCGGCTGCTCCAATAATGGTCTACATGTACATGTAAAACGCCCTACACCCTACACCCTACACGCCCTACACGCCCTACACACCCTACCCGCCCTACACCCTACACGGCAAAGAAAGGGGTTAACGTACATGCCCTTTCAAAAGAGCAAGATGGTGACTTGCATGGCCAAGTGACACTGAGGAAATTACCTTATGCCTGCTTCCAGGACAAACTCGACCAGTGGAAGAAGATCTGAACAGAAAAGAGAAAAACAGAAATTCACTCAAAATTGAAAACTACCCTTGTGTCGGCTGCACTACGGAACTAGCAACTTCATCGGTATTAGCAGAGGAAGTCGGTTGCTCCTACTTCGAAGTATGTGGAACACCTACTTCTTGACAAAATTTAATGTGACACTTCAATGAGTTACGACTGCCATTCGGAGCACATGAGGAGCTCGTCGTACCTTCCAACTGCTCGGCTTAAAAGCTTCAAAGGTCTTGTTGTCCCACTCACAGACATGTGACTTGGTCTCGTTGTCCCACTCACAGACATGTGACTTGGTTTTTTGTCCCACTCACAGACATGTGACTTGGTCTTGTTGTCCCACTCACAGACATGTGACTTGGTCTTGTTGTCCCACTCACAGACATGTGACTTGGTCTTGTTGTCCCACACACAGACATGTGACTTGGTCTTGTTGTCCCACTCACAGACATGTGACTTGATCTTGTTGTCCCACTCACAGACATGTGACTTGGTCTTGTTGTCCCACTCACAGACATGTGACTTGGTCCTGTTGTCCCACTCACAGACATGTGACTTGGTCCTGTTGTCCCACTCACAGACATGTGACTTGGTCTTGTCCCACTCACAGACATGTCACTTGGTCTTGTTGTCCCACTCACAGACATGTCACTTGGTCCTGTTGTCCCACTCACAGACATGTGACTACAACCGTTGTTGGACCTAACATCGTTGTGAATAGGTACTGCATGGCCCGCAGTATCTGTTTCGCACTACTGCATATACAAGTGTGACCCATGCAGCTATCTGATGCTTTGCGCGGTGTTTACCCGCTGGAAACAAACCGCCAGTGCATGTACATGTACATGTATGTATGTGCATCCCTCGTGATGTTTGGGCTGCTCAACCGCCATAAATGCAGTACTCCCGAGCACAAATTTTATAGGCCTACTCAAGCTCAACTGACTCTGGGGGAATTCGGCAAAACAATGTGCATTGAGCAGGGTGGTGCCCCCCAGCAGCAGGTTTTGAAGATGTTACGACAGACTACAAACGGACTGTCATGAGTCAGTCCAGTGTCAAGCTTGGCAGCAGAAGTAGCCATGTTCACAGGAGAACTTACCGAATGTTGTAAAGTCGTACACAAGTGGTTGCTGGCATGTAGGACACTTGCGGCCTAGATTGTGCAGCAGTGGCGTGGACGTAGAGCATCGAAAACACAGCGGCGTCAAGTCCTGCCATGTAGAATACACAGGATTAAACAACACACAGGCCACAGTCATGGTCACATGGTATGGCACTCTCATGGTTGATCAGGGGTCTAACTAAAGACGCACGCACACGTGCACACGCAAGCGCATACGGACGTGCACGCACGTGCACACGCAAAACATCCACTCATAGACACTTCCCACGCTAGCACAATATGCGGGTTAACCACGAAACAGCTTTCATATTTGGACAATGTGATCAGTCACCCACAAAGTTCACATTGGGATAGTGTGACCAGTCACCCACTAAGTTCATATTTGGACAATGTGACCAGTTACCCACTAAATATGGCCATACGTACTGATCAATTTCACCTGGCATGGCTAGGAGGTAGGAATATCAGCATGTGTGTGTATGATTAGCACTAGGTGGGTAACATACGCACACAACGTGTGTGCTTACCTGTTTGTCGTGCATACCGCGTGCCCGGATGGTGAAGCTGTCCCTTTCAACGATTTTCTGATATTCGCGTGGCAGAACACACCTCTTTGTACACAAACGTACACATGTAGAATCACACACACACAAACACACACACACACACACATACACACACACACACACACAAACACACACACATATACACACACATATACACACGCACATACACACACACACACACACACACATACACACACACACAGAGATTGAGAAGGAATGTGTGCATGAGAGAATAGGACAGAGAGAAAGACATACAGAGACAGACATACATATATACAGACAGACAGACAGATAGACAGACAGCAGAAAGTTGGATCAACAAGTACTTCGAAGTAGCAATCATGCTATCATCAGCTCAGTGACTATAATTATTACATAGGCATAGGGCTGCTCAATGAAACCAAATCATGTGAGTCAAGTTTGCGCTTTAGGTACAGTATTCACAGACTGCCTGTGGCTTCACAGCGCCAGGCGCAGCATAATCGCATGTCATATAGCATCACTGAACATCTCGTAGCACCGATTGTCACCAAAGACACAGCTTGACAAAAATCTTCAGGAGTCAGAGTCAGAGTCGTGAAGTTAGCAGCACACACACTAAGCTAAGCAAATCCTCCAGTACCACTAGGGGAATTGCATTTGCTGGGCTTCACTGACCTGTAACTGTTCATAACAGAAGCATGCCGCTCGAAATCCACCCAGATCCCGGCACTGCTTGGCCATGGTGTAAAAGATGATGCTAGATGAGCGGTAACACAGGTGACAGCAGAAAACAAGATATGCATTAACAGTGCAGTAGTCATTCATTTGGAGGAGTTCATAAGGGAAACAAAGTCTGCAGGAAACCATGACTGCCACAGCCAGCTTTCGTGTTGGCATCAGCCTCAGTTCTTTCTCACTGTACTAATCTCGTAGTCAACTCCCCCCCCCCCCCCCCCCTCATGCTCATGCTCATGAACAGAGCATATTAGCAGAGCTGCACAAACTAAAAATGCAGATTCTGCTTAACGTAGAGCAAATTAATGTTTGACCCTGGGCCCAAGGTTGTGTCAGGCCCACAAGTCATATAATTCATTCGTTCATGCATTATTCATTTGGCCTGGGTAGCTACTTGCGCGTCCATGTTTGCCATAGCTACCCAGGCCCTTTATATTGCGTTGCTCTCTCTTCAGTAAGCTCTCTTCAAATTATCGCTCTCTTCAGTCGAGCTCTCTCTCATAATGTAGTTGTTGCGTTGCGTTGCGTCTACCATAATAAATGTTTCCCCCCACTTGTTCCCGTCGTCCATTGCGTTGCGTTTGGGAGGATTGAGGTACCAGAATGTCCAACATTGGCGCCCGGCTTTTCGCTCAGACCCACGACCCTGCTCCAGAACTCGTCGTCAGTCTCGTCTCGTCTCGTCCATGTCAACCTCGTCTCTCCTACGCCAACCTCGTCTCGTCTCTGTCAACCTCGTCTCGCCTATGTCTACCTCGTCTCGTGCAAGACATGCAGGTCAGCTATTTCTCATTATTTCTCTCTCTCTCTCTCTCTCTCTCTCTCTCTCTCTCTCTCTCTCGCTCTCTCTCTCTCTTTTCTTTCGTGCGTCCTACTTCGTCACATTTATTTTCGGTTTATTTATTTCGTGAATTTTTTTGTAGTGTGTGTGCGCGCGTGTGTTCAGAAAATAATACCAAATTAGAGGTCCGATCATGGTGAGCCACGCTCTAATTTTTGATGTTTAGCAGAAGTGCAACTACGCTATTTTTAGCCATGCAGGCAGTATCAGTAGGTTCCTCGTGACATCTAGTTTCTTATCTTTAGACTTAGAGAAGTACAGGGACAATAACTGTAATGCATGATACTAGTTAACACTTTTGTGAGATCCGTGCGCGCATGCAATATGTGTGTGTGTGTTTTTTCTCCCTCAGTCATTTCTTTATCTTTTTCTCACAAGTCATATAATTCATTAGTTCATGCATTATTCATTTGGCCTGGGTAGCTACTTGCGCGTCCATGTTTGCCATAGCTACCCAGGTCCTTTATATTGCGTTGCTCTCTCTTCAGTAAGCTGCCTTCAAATAATCGCTCTCTTCAGTCGAGCTCTCTCTCTCTCTCATATTGTAGTTGTTGCGTTGCGTTGCGTCTACCATAATAAATGTTTCCCCCCACTCGTTCCCGTCGTCCGTTGCGTTGCGTTTGGGAGGATTGAGGTACCAGAATGTCCAACAGTTGTGATGGCTGGGTGATAGATCCTAACGCTGCTTGAACTTGATGACGGCAGAGTCAACAAATAACGACTCCTGGGCTGCATGGGGACCACTCTGCCCATATCAATGTACAGTATGTGGTCGGCAGGGCCTTGTGTTCCCGGAATGTGTACATTGTGTCCCCCTGCCCCTCTCCCCCGGCGCCCACGCCAGCTACTACCAGCGCATATGACACCCCACTGTGACGGAATTCACGGAAACGTACATGGGACCGTGCAAACACTGGGTCAAAGTGGATCCGCAAGTCAGTCGGCGGAGTATGGGATAATAATCATAAGGTAATACAGGTGGAATCCTGATAATTCGAACCTCAAAATGCCAGGAAAAAACTTCTTATTATCCAGACATTCTAATTATCCAAACATGAACCCACAACACAATATGTATGTCAAAATGCTCTCATGGTCACGCATAATTGCGCTATGGACCTTAGACACAGATTTCGCGGATACTGAACTGACCGGCACAGCCTGCTCATGCAAACTGAACTGACCTGTACAATGTACAAGTACAATGAACTTCGAATTACACTTTGCTAACTTCGAATTATCAGCACAAATCCCACACATTTTCTATGTAAGTGGAATCTGTGGGACTTTGAATTAACCGGACATATCAAGTTCTAGGTTCGAATTATCAGAAATATTTATGCGGGACTCGTATTGATAGAAATCGGTCCTGGAAAAACTTCTAATTAAGCGGTATGTTCGAATTAAGCCATATTCGAATTATCAGGATCCCACCTGTAGTAAAGTAAAGTTCCTGCACTTGCTGATAACTCAGCTGCATACCAAGCTGACAAGTTGACCAAGATCCGGCCAATGATCACACTACTCAACTGCCGTTTCCAGGAAGTGTATATGCCCATAGCACGCATCAGCATTGATGAGGAGCTTGTGGCCTGGCAGGGACGCCTCAGCTTCCGCCAATACATTCCGTCCAAGCGAGCTCGCTTCGGCAGCAAAATCTTTGCCCTGTGCAAGGACTTCGGCTACCTCTACAACTGTATCATATACGTCGGCAAAGACAACGCCTCATTTGATGCTGATGTGGTCTGCCAAGTCAGTGTCCGGAGCTGTCGTGGCAAAACTGATTCAACCTCTCGCTGGCAAAGGATACCAGCTGCTCGTTGACAACTGGTACAGTGGAGTGGCTTTGGCGCGATGCCTGTCTGACAACGGCACGGCAGTTTGTGGTACGGTGCGTGAGAACTGCTCAGGATTGTCAAAGCGTACTGCAAATAGGCTGGACTGAAGAAGGGAGAGTTCGTCAGCCGCAACTCTGATGGCCTTCTATTCGTCAAGCTACGTAACACGAAGGAAGGCTGCTTTCTGTTGTCCATGCACACCGCAAATGTCATTGCCACCGGGAAACGTCACCATCAGGTCAGGATGGTGAGAAAGTTGGCCCTCGTCCAGGATTACAACAGGTTTAAGGGTGGAGTTGATAGGGACGACGAGATGCTCTCGCTTTATACGTCTGTCCGCAAGTCCTACAAGTTGTACAAGATGTTGGCTGGGCATGTGATGGAGGAGTGCCTTCTGACTGCCTACATGATTCAGAAGAAAAAATGGCGGCACCCTTTCCCACTACGACTTCATCCGCGTCGCATACTCAATGCTCATTGATGCCGGGAAGGTTGAGCTCCGGGAGATCGATGTCGCCGATGAACCACTGCCCACAGCTGCAACTGTGGCTTATCAGCAGCCACAATGTCAGCCACACCTCTGCCTTGCGGAGCTCCATCATCTGACAATTCTGCCCGCAACACGATCCCACAGAAGCGCTGAACTATATGATCGACAAACGGGGTCCGGAGTGAGCCTCAGCACTACTGAGAGGAGGGCCCAAAGCCCCAGGAATGTGTCCTGCACCTTGTTTCAAGGTGTACCACACACAGCTTGATTATGGCCAGCTGTAACTCATTTTTCAAGGTCCTGCCTGGGAAAAGCAAAGCAGTATTGTTGATTTTGATGTATTCATGTAATGAATTCAGTTTAGCGTAGGCGCACATCTTGCAACTACGTATCTGCTGCGCAACAGCGCCCTCTACTGTTCTGGCCACGTCACTTGTTTAGCGCACCTTGCCGCGACCGGCAATACTGCCTGCTCTACATCACATTTATGCGTACGCCATCACAATAATTAATTCAGTTTTGATCGGGTTCGAGTCAGCAACGTGGCACATCTCCTTGCCATTCTCAGTTTTGAGTATTCTCTGCTTTGGCTCATGCCCGACTTGCATCCTGCTGCCTTTGTCTTTTGCTGACCCACCATCCCCCCACTAACCATTAATACTACATTGCATCATTCCTACTTCAAGTACAATAAACCTGGTGGCGAGTCACTCATAACTGGTCTGCCTTTCCATTGCGGCATTATGGCCTTATGGTCCTGCCTTTCCATTGTGGCAATCACAGCCTCCGGGCTTCTGCCTTCCTGCGGCAATCACAGCCTCCGGGCTTCTGCCTTTCTGTGGCACTCGCAGCCTCACGGGCTCGTGCCTACCTTGCGGCAAAGACCAACCAGTTCCTCGTCACCAGTACTTGCCCAACACAACCTAGCCTTATTCGTGTGGTGTACGCCTGTCTGCATGCCGTCTGTGTGCGCAGAATGCTAATATAGGAAAACCCCAAAAATAGGCTACTCAAAACTGTGTTTATTATACCTTAAGAGTCTAAATTATTCCAGGAGACGCATGGAGCACGCCCTCCCGCCCGCCCACGCACCCCCCCCCCCTCCCCCTCTCACACACAGAATTATGCATACCCTTTGAGGATGCCGCGAGGCAGGCGGTCACTTTCCAGCAACATGAAACGGCACATGTTGAGCAACGTCTGCTGCGTGTGCTTCGTTACGGGCTCTTTCTACAAACAGACGACAACAGGATGACAGCGCACAGAGAAAGCAGAGAAAGCCGTCTTGACATCAACACCTTGATTGACATACCACCAACAACATCCATATACCCATAGGCAAGTGTGCATGCGAGTCTTGCTCATGTCTCAAGAACATTGCATAAAATCAAATAGAAGCAAGAATCAAGTCACAGCTTTTCTTTCTTTCTTTTTTACAAACATTCTATGCTCATCAGATTCTAATTTTCAGCATACGAGATTATAATTTAGAAGTGATGGTGGGACATGGTAGGCTCCACCGACCATACACACCAACATTGAAACACTCTACACTAGTACAGTGCATAGGTGATGGAAATGGGTTGTGCTGCTTCAGTGGAAGGAAAAGAAAACAAAGAAAAAAGAAAAACAGGTTTCAGAGCAGACCCGCTCTCTTCCCATTCACTCTGAAAAAAGAGAAACAGAAAAGGACTGCAAACTTATGATTGTTACATCATGAGTAGACAGTATTGGGTGGACAAGCTTGTGGCGATGATGATACCACCAATGACCGCATTAGGGTACATACAAACGCTGCGCTGGGCAAAGTCTCAGGGCTGGGAACAGCAGAACCCCACACCAGCAGTCATGAACCAGTGACTGTGAGCCACGAAGCCAGCGGAAGCTTTAAACTTGAAGCCGAGGATTGATAATGCCACACGTTGACACACCGCCATACCCTCACCATAGATGATGTCATACACTGACACCCAAACGTACACTTACCATAGATGATGTCATACACTGACACCCAAACGTACACTTACCATAGATGATGTCATACACTGACACCCAAAAGTATATACTTACCATAGATGATGTCATACACTGACCCAACAGGGCCCACACCATACAACATACATACATGTAGCTATTACAGACAATGTCATATTGTTAGGTTACCACTTACAGTGCATGGATCCCTTCTCACCCTCTACCATGTATGCACCATACAGCCTACACTCTAGTGCTTCCCGTGCATCCCTCTCCCTGCATGTACGCCGCATTCTCATGACTCTGCACATATAGCTTCCTGGGTGTCTATCCCTGACTGCAACCTGCAGTCTAGCAACCTGTACACATAGGTCATAGCTTCCTGCCTCCATTCCCCATCCCAGTGCAGTCCCATTCTGTACTTCAATCCCCAGTGGCCGGTGTAGATCAATATGCACCTCTCCTCCGTATTTATCATAACGAGAATGATCCAATTCAAGCCGTCATCTTGCTGTCTCGGGTGGCTTTTGCGGCTTGTTCTGTTTCAACAGTATACTGACACATCACCACACAATCTACTCTCCAGCTAGCATACAGTAACAGGTGATGTCACATGCTGACACACCGCCCTACAGCATACGTACACGTAGCTAGCATGGAATGATGATGGCACACATTGTCACACCGCCTTACAACATACATGCACATATAGTACAGATGATGTCACACACTCTCACACTGCCTTACAACATACACACATGTACGTGTAATCGATGATGTCACACTGTCACACTGCCTTACAGATCTACCACAGGACATGACATGCACTACCAGTCAATACAACACCTGCCAAATTTAGCACAGAATTACATGACATACATGCATACATGAAATACATGACATGAATGGCATACACCACAGACATGACAACACACATGACAACACACATGACAACACACATGACAACACA